CTGTAATATGAAGTGTGTAAACGTGGAGGGTAAGACTGCCTGCTAGCGACCGCCAGCTTCACCACATATGACCACTGTGACATTGGACAAATTAATTAACCTCTCTGTGCCCTAGGTTTCTGACCCATAAAATGTTGATGGATACTAGTAGTTGGCCTACTTTCTTAACTATAAAATAGGGCTACTGGGTGATGACGATTAAATGATGTAAAGCACTTGGCATACTAACCAAAATGCCTGCTAAGTAGTAAGCACTCACTAAGATTGTTCCAGGAATAATGAGCAAGTGTAGGGGGCACAGGGATTAAGCAAAACTGTGGGTAGGCATTGGTGATTACTTAAAATAACCACATGGAGTTATTTTAAAGGCAGGGATTCTCCAGATGTTGTGAGTCGAGTCACCAAAAAGCAGAAAAGTCCTCAGAAGCTTGACCGTAACCTCCCAAAGAGGAACAATCAATTTTTGAAAACTTGTCTTAAAAATAGCCTTGGCTTGTATATGATGAGATACTAGATCTTATGTTCTGTGGCCTGTGACGTAAACATGGAGTGAAGTCGAAGAGAAACCAAGTGAGTTTTTTTTATGGCACCAACACCTTCCGGACTGAATTTCTCAATGCGCACCATCTCAGCCAGGCTCACACCAAGGCTTCCCTCGTGGAAGTGACAAGTGGTTCCCCAGGGAGCAAAACCACCACGGAGCTGATGGTGATGACCATGAGCAAGGTCACCCTCAGGAGGGTGGAGAACTTGTTCCCATCCTGCCACACCATCGCCAAGACCGGACGTCCCCTCAAAGATTTTATCTGGATGTGCTCGTTGGATGATATGAAGGGTGATGATACTGGCCCGGTATTCAGAACGAACAAATCGGCCAGAAGATTTACATAGTTTATTGCTGAAGTAGAACAGAGAACTCTAAGAGAGAAATTAGAAAAAAGTAAGTTTTTCTCCATCCTCAGCGATGGGATCACAGACAGTTCAATCGAGGAAGCTGACCTTGTGTACAAGCAGTGAGCGTGCGCAGGGAAAGGACACTGTCAAATCGTTGGGGTACAGACAGGGGGAAAGAAGGGACCTCTGGCAATAAAACATGCCCCTGAGAACACTCTAGACAGAAATCTTCAACTTCGACTATCGAACCAAGACTGGGCAAAGAAACTGGTTGGTTTCGCACGTGATGGTGCCCCTGGCTCAGAGCGAGAAGACGGCAGCGAGGTGGCCCTGCTTTTAAGAGAAATCCAGCCACATGTGCCGACTGTGTGTTGCTCTGTGCATCATCTCGAGGTATCTTACAAAGCGGCGTTCCAGAGCGTTCCCCTGTACAACGATGTCAGAGACCTTCTCTGCAGCACTTACCACTTCTATCACAATTCTGTTCATAAGAGTACTCTGGTACTTTCAAAGGCCTTCACCTTCGACCTGTGATACCTTCTCAAGTAGGAGGCCGGAGGTGGCTTCAAGGATTACAGGCCTCCCTCCAGAATCTTCTCAAAGGATATCAATTGTCCAGCAGCTGCATTCGGTAAGTAATTTTGAAATACTGTACTATTTTAGTTTTTTCAGAATAAAAAGAATACTTTTACTGAGTCATTTGAAATAATAATTTTGAGAAAGATAAACCACTGTTTTTTCCTAGCCCATGTTACAGACAAGGGAAGGCAGAAGTGACACCAATCATCAGAAAGCCAAAGACCTTGTAGAGTCCCCCCTGCAGACAGACATTGTTAAATTTGTCCACTTCTTGCTGGATGTCACTGATGTCCTCAGCATTCTGTCCCGCGTCAATCAGAACAGAAACTCTTCAATTGCTGATATATTTGCCACCCTAGAGTCAACACTGGAAATGCTCAGAATATATCAGACAAGGTGAGGAGTCCGGGATGATCTGAGAGTCTATCCATCCAGACAGATGGACTTGGGAAACCATTTGCTAGGTGCTTTTGCACATAATTGTCTACTTGGGGGAATTTTTTTTTTCCCCTCCCCAAACCAGGGCCAAAAGAACGCCCAGTGGATTCAGTCACACACTTTCAGGGTAACTGCCTCCTCGCAGGAAAGTGAAACATTTCTGATGTAAGAAACATGGTTTTAACACATCTTATCAAGAGGCTGCGAGGCTGTTTCAGAGATGTCAACCAAGATGTGGTGAAGACAGCCACGATTGGGAGCTTTAAACTGTGGCCAGCAAAGATAAATCAAGGTAACGTATGAACTCCGGCTCTGAATCTGTTGTTCTTTGATTGTCTGTGTACATGTCTTTAAGATATGTGACGTTTTGTTGGGCGTATGGATTGCAGAATTTGGAGAAAAAGAGGTGTCCATCCTGATTGCACATTATGAACCAGTATTGGAAGCTGCCAAGGTGAAAATTGATGATGTAGACACAGAAAGGAGCATGTTGAAATTAGAGATTTATGCTAGGTGAGCATAAGTAACCTAGTTGATATGTATAAATATTGGAGTAAAACTTAGGAGTCTCAATCTTTTACATTTTTCATTTTTCCTCCTAGATTTCAGAACATCCACAAATTGACCTGGGATTTTGTGAATTCTGTTTATTTACACAAGTATCCGAACATCCTAACACTCGTGGACCTAGCGCTGAGCCTCCTTGCAAGTTCAGCTGAAGCAGAACATGGCTTTAGTCAGATGAAGGGCACTAAGCCACAAACGCATGCCATGGTCAAGGCTGATAGCATGACAGATCTCCTGTTAATTCAGTTGGATTCTCCAGACATTTATAACTTTGACCCTAGGAAAGCCATTCATTGATGGAATACAAGAACACCATCTTCAACTGGTGACACAAGACCTATCTCGGATTGTTCATCAAACTCAGAAAGGCTTGACGAAAGCGATTAGTAATGTGACAAATGTTGACCTCATCATTGATCATAGCAAAAAGAACTATTTTCAAAAACCTGAAAGTTAAAAATAAAAGTCACCAGTCTTCATATCAAACACAAAAGGCATTTGGCATCATCCAGACCTACAGAGCAAAAATCCAAAGATTGGTTTTTCTCTGACTTTCCAATTCTAGTTCTGTATTCACACATCCTTTCACATTCTTTGGGTGAAGTATATACTTCTAAGCAATGGTATTATTTTGATGTCATCTTTCTGAGAGTTACTGCTAAGGGTAACTAGACTATAATTATGGTCTGAGTTCCTTTAGGCCTGGCTTACAATTAACCGTTTTTCCTGGATAATTCTAAATGACAGTTGCATTAGGTAACTAACTTAGGGCCAAATGGAAAGAGAATTTTTTTTGATCCATAAACAAAATTTGTAAGCTTATCTGTTTCCATTACTGCATTATATGTGAAGGCCATATTATTGTATGCCTTGGTCATTTAAGTAACAAGGCCAAATGTCAAAATAGTTTTCACATTTCACACTAGGGTTCCCAGATAAACAATTCCTATGTGAACTGAAAATATTTTCTTACACTTTGCTTGCACCATAGCTCTTAGAGACAGTGGAAATATTTTACGTATCTACCAGAATTTTTAAATACTTTGAGCCTCTTCATGGTTTCAATTGAGTTTATTTGTGGTTTCATCTTGAGAATCATGAATGATTAATTTCTAACTTGTCTGTAAACCAATATAGTATCATGTAAAGATCATTCTACCAAGTTCCACTACCTGGGAAAGTTATTCTCATTTCTATAAAATTGGATACTCAGGTTTGATCAAAAAGGTAGAGAATTTATTTCTGAACAACCTGCTGGATGGCCAGTCTTATCAAAGAAAGAAAGATTCTGCTCTTGCTACCCAGAAAATTGCCTTCCAGATCTGAAACTTGGGCATGTTATTTGAACCACTGAAATTTTAAAAGCATTACTACATTTTCCTAAAGGTTAGAGGAAATGGTAAAGTTCATGTTGGACTTTAGAAATGCTAAAAACTTAGATATAGGAAGAAAAATTTGAGATTCTACATCTATGTTTCACTTTTTTGAGGGGAGGGGGCCTGTCACTGTTGTGGCCTCTCCCGTTGCGGAGCACAGGCTCCAGGCGCGCAGGCTCGGCAGCCATGTCTCAGGAGCCTAGCCGCTCCGCGGCATGTGGGATCTTCCCGGACCGGGGCACAAACCCGTGTCCCCTGCATCGGCAGGCGGACTCTCAACCACTGCGCCACCAGGGAAGCCCCTGTTTCACTCCTTTGATTCCTAAACAAAGAAGAATAGCTATATACTCTGGACCTGAAAGATACCGGAATACATGTAGGAGTGTCTCCTGGTTCTAGAAGGTACCGACACTATGGGAGTTAGACATTTTTTAAGGAAATACATTTATTTTGCTTTCCTATTTCTTTTTTAATGCATGTGCATGCAATTTGAAATGAGCAACAGACTAAACAAACATCTCAAGGTAAAGTAGTTTAGTGTTTAAGAGCAGAAGGCTTTAAAAGGTTAGTTATCTTTTATAAAATATATCACAGTGTTTGAGCCAATTAGATGACTAAATTAGCACTTCAAATCTAGTAATTTAATAATTCAAATATCCCGATATTTACCAAAACAAATATATTCTGATCTAAAAAAGCAAAATGAGGATAAATGTGTTACCTTGATCACAGTGGTGATGTGCATGCGTTTGAAACACCTTTATCCCATATTTACCAAAACATTTTACTCTAGTGCCCTGCTGAAAAATAGGAACCCTTGCAGTAGTTTTTTAAATTCAACGTATTCTGAGTACAAGGTCAAAGAAGACTCCAAACTAAAATATAAAGCCTCAGTATCTTACTCAGTCTGAACAATTTATTACTCACCGAAAAAGACGTGCTGACTCAGCTGAGAAACAACCATGGGAGAAAATCAGGAAATTGATTATTATTTTTATGTTTCCAAAGTGTCTTCTGTTTCTCTAAAGGCTAAAGTTTTAAAGAGAATGAATGAAGCGATTATACAAATATCCATTATTTGTTCTATTTTAGTGAAAGAAACAAATCACATAATAAAACGGAAAAATATTTCTCATTGTATTTTAGGCATAATAGGAAACAAAGCATTTGCTGACGTTCTGCTGGATTTGGTAACCCTGAACCTTGGAACAAACAACTTTCCTAGTAGTTGGATGAACCTCACTCAACCCGAAGTAAGTTTCTATTTTGTTTGGGTTTCAAGCTTTGCGAATTCTTCTTCTTTAATGAATAAGTCAAGAGTTTTCAAATAACCAGTACCTGCACAGTAACCGACATTTAGTAGCAGCCAATAAACCTGGATGAACAAATGAACAAGTTAAGACACTTAGTATGTTCATGCTCAGTATTTGAAAATAAGTGACGATGCTGACAGTCAATGAAACACTATAGAGACCATGAGGCTCAGCCAGTGAGTTTGTATCTATTACTACCAGATGGAGTGATCCTAACTAGTAATAGTAGATGATTCTGGCAGTGCTTGCTTTTCCTTATATTCTGTTCCTTAAGAAAACAAAGTGGTTAAAGAGTATTTCCCTCCAAGTTGTAGAGCCCTCCCACACTCGTAATTATCATCTTTATTCCTTCTCTGTTGAAAAAGTACAAAGTATACTATAGTCACAAGTGTTAATTCCTTGTGTAACAGTAAGCAAAAACCACAAATGTCAAGGAAGCAAAAATCAAAAACACTCTCTAAGTTCTGTCTGGTGTGGATTGCTTGGTAGAACCTGAGGGAACAAAAGTGAGAACTGACCCTATTGGCCAAGCTAAAATCTTACTTCCTTCATCAGAATCTCTTACTAAGAAACACGAGCAGGTAGAGTGTCACAAGAGAGTCATACAAACATTCCAATGGCATTTCCTGCTTTCTTCTAGTTGCAGGAATTAACATCTTTATTGGTAACAAACTCGGAGTTCGTGGACTGGCGGAAATTCTTGTTAGTAGTCGCGCTGCCTTGGCCCATTCCTCTGGAGGAGGAGCTCTTGGAGACCCTGCAGAGGTTCCAGGCTGTGGATGAGGAACACCTGGGCACAGTCACTTTCAAGCAGTATATGCAGGTCACTACCAGCCCCTGGTGGCACTAACCCTACCAGAGTACTTCTGACCTAAGAAGCTCCCTGATCTCACAACACCAGGTCTCATGGCCCATGTCTAGGCACCTAGAGGCAGCACAGGCACTGTCCAAGTCCCAGGTAGAAGTCTGGCTCCCACCCCCAGGGAAGGGTCTGAAAAAGTCAGAACTGCTTGGAGAGCTAAGGGTTCTGAAAGAAATCACAGAAAACGTCATTGTTGTCCTACCAAGTGGTTCTTAACCTTGGCTGTACATTAGAATCGCCTGCAGAGCTTTTAATTAGCCCAATGCCCAATAACAAATACTACGGGAGTACCAACAGCAGTTACAATGAACACAGGGAAAGGGACAGGGTTTTTTATTTTTTTCTTTTGGTCACAAGCGTGGTGAACGATAAGATGTTTTTTGACACGTTGAGTTTGAAATGTCTGTGGGAAATGCAGACAGAAGTGTCCCATCTGATATGGCAGATGCAGAAGCCAGTCACTATCACGTAGGCGGTTGTTGGAGTTATGAATGGACCAGATCACCCGAGGGAAGTGTGTAAAGTGATGGATAATCCAGTAACATGGTACCTGGCCATTGGACTTGTAGATAGGATGTAACTATTGACCTTCACCGGAGCAATTTTGGGAGAGTACAGCGTCTAGATTGCAGAGGATTGATGGAATAAATAGGTCTTTAAGAAGTGAAGATAAGACAGTCAACTCATTTCCGAGAAGCTTGAGTAAGGAGGGAGGAAGAATGAAATGCCATAACTAAGAAGGGCCTGAATGACTTATTTTGTGTCTACTAATCAAATTCATCCTAATTCTCCCCACTTCACATTGCTGGTAGACATGAAAGGTGGAAACGTTTATAAGGTGCTGATTTTGAAACAGGGTGATAATCTCTAGGCGCCTGTAGCTCGTGTATATTTCACCATTGAAAGATCACATCTCTTCCTGCTTCTCTTTTCTTCCTTGATTAATGAAAGGCGTGCTCATAGACAGCCCTGACGTTCCCACGCTTAGACAGTTGAGCCAGAGGAAATAGCACTTCCACATCGAAGAGGTTCTTCAAGCCTGATCAAGAAAGGTGCATAGCTGATTGGGCTCTAATTTATATACTTCCCAAGTAGAGCACTTTGTGAATTCTTTCACTGTCCTGGACCTGGGCTTACAACTTATAGAGATTTTTTGTGTAAAAACATAAACAGCAGGGCAAAACTTACTCTATTTTCTTGTTGGCTTAAGATTTTTAAAAGTGGGCACTCGTAAATGTACCAACCTTCACTCTTTACAGTATGTGCCAATGAACACAGGTTGTCAATTTAAACATCTTTTTGCACAAACGTGAGACGAACTTAGGTGTTCGTAATTTGTACCACAGTGCTGAGCAAAACCAGAAATCTCTCTCACCAAAAGTGTGAATTTCTTAGAGAAAGTTGGCTGCTGCATGAAACAGAACCTCAGAAATACTTATCAGAACACTGCCTGGGTTTTGGGAGCAGTTGATTTCTGAGCTCTGCCCTCTCAGCTTACGCACCCACCGCCCACTCCTCAGGAGGCTCAGGACAAGGTGACCATTTGGAGAGGCCCGCTTGACCTCCCCACATGACTCACAGATCTCCAGCGCTCTCCACATCACATACAGAGCGTTCTTTCATGGGACTGTCAAAACAGCTTCTAGGGTAAAATTTTATGATTTGTTGAAAATGCCACCTTCGAATACAGTAGTCAAATAGTACAACTACATTGCTGAAATGAAGTTCTCTGGGGAAAAAATAAATAAATAAATAAGCTCCCTACTCTGCTTTTTGTCTTTTTTCTTTTCTTCTGACTAACTGCAAGTTCATCATAACCGCCACTTAAGGATGTGCTGCTTTCCTCAGCTTCTAAAATGGAATAAGATACAGTGTTTGTGAAGCTGCTGCGGCTGCATACCTGGGCTAAGCCACGTGAGCATAAAAGTGCACCTGCCTTTGCTCCAGCCCTATTGCAGCTGTCTGTCACGTGTGGATGTTTAGTCACGCTCATGCAGAATGCTTTGATGGTGAACTCTCTCAACTCATCTTCGGTCAATGAGAATGCAGGTTATCATAGGCTTAATGAATCAGATGTTCTAGGATCCAAACAGTGCAGCACTTGTTCGCTAAGGAAAAGTAAAATAACTAAACTAAAATTCTTTGACCATATTTTATTTGTTCTTTGACCAAATGTCCACAAAGGACATTTCCACATTTCAAGGATAAATCACCTGATTATCCAGTGGGGCAAATGTGGTTGACTGAACCTTGCTTGACCAATGTACGCCCAACCTACAGTTCACGTTTAACATTTTGCACTGCTAACGTTTTCATGGATGACTGTTTTAAAAATATAAGTTGTTCTCTGATTAGGTTCTTTCTTCTTTCTCATGTGACCCTCTTGTATGTGAAACACTTTGAAACAGTTTCCTAATCTCTAAAATATCATCTTTTTTTTTTTTTTTCCTTTTTTATTCTGTACGCGGGCCGCTCACTGTTGTGGCCTCTCCCGTGGCGGAGCACAGGCTCCGGACGCGCAGGCTCAGCGGCCATGGCTCACGGAGCCCAGCCGCTCCGCGGCATGTGGGATCTTCGCGGACCGGGACACGAATCCGTGTCCCCTACATCGGCAGGCGGACTCTCAACCACTGCGCCACCAGGGAAGCCCTCTCTGACCTTATTTTGTATTCATTTCTACTTCTCCATCTTCTAGTTCACTGATCATTTCCTTTGCAGAGTCAAATCTATTATTAATACAATCCAGTGTATTTTTATTTGAAATATATTTTTGATCTCTGTAAGTTGGGTCTTTTTATATCCTTCATTTCTCTCTTCATTATATGCATTTTTCTCTGTCTCCTTGAATAAATGAAATATATTTAGAACAGCTAAATGAACATCCTTGTCTGTTCATTCTATCATCTGTGTATTTCAGTGTTTGTTTCTATTGATTGATGTTTCTTCTGACTATGGGTTATATTTTCTGGCTTTTTTGCATTCCTTTGTATAGGATGCCAGATGTTATAAATTTTATATTGGTGGGTGTCCAATTTTATATACCTTATATATTGTCGGGCATGCAGTAATGTTATTTGCAATCAGTTTCATCCTTTCAAGGTTACATTAAGATTGATAAGTGTGGGTCCAGAGCAACCTTTAGTTTAGGGCTAATCTAGCCCCACTACTAAGGCAATATCCTCCTGGGGGTGTTACCCAATGCCTTGTGTATCAGGAGGTCCTTCCACTCTGCCGGGTGGTAACATTTTCCCTGGTGGTAACATAGTCCCAGCCCTGTGTGAGACTCAGGAACAGTTCAGCTTACTCCTTTCCTGTGGTTCTTTCTCCAGCTTCTGGCATTTTCCACACATACATCCAGAGGTTGGCTTTCAGTCAAGACTTGAGGAGATCTTTCTACAGATCTCTAGGGCTCACCCTCTCTTTCAGTGCATCTCTAGTGTTTTGCCCTGAAAATTCTAGTCATCGTGGCCTCCCCCAACTCCAAATCTATCTTGTCAACCCAGCAAGACGTGCCAGCTCTATCTGGATGCCTCTCCTGACACTGTAGCCTGAGCAATACTTGGGCTCCTCATTATTCTCCTTATTTCAGGAATTACTGTCCTGAGTTGACTGTTGTCTAACGTCTGAAAAAATTATGTTACATATATATTGGTCATTTTGTTTGTTTGTTTAAGGCAGGAGGGTAATTCTGAGCTTTGTCACTCCATCATGGCCTGAAGCATAAATCTTACCTACATTCCTCATCTCTCTATTCTCCATGGAGTGGTACTTATGGTCCACAGATTGGCCACTGGGCAACGATTCTTCCCGGTCAGTGCAAGGCACTTACATTCAAAGCCTGAGCCTGTGCTGGACCTTAGCTGCTTCTGTGTCTTCTCCCTCACAGGCTTCTGCATGGCCAGCACTCCTCTGTTCTAAATGAAAAGAAAACCCGGTCCTCACCTCTGGGGGCTGCATCCCCTTACAAGCTACCTATTGTCAATCCAGCCTTCTCTCAAAACACGGGTGATTCTTCGAAGGAAAGAAGGCACAAGCATAGGCCAGAGTCAGGTTAGGCTGGCCAATGGTTCTTGGAAATAGGCAGTGCCAAGGGTAGATTGTCACTCTGGAAGATGCTAAGGGAGAAAGACCTAGGAACAAGATGCTTATGTATATGAAGTACTTGCCATGTATAAAAGTTAAGCTTGGCAAGACACATTCTTTGAACCCAAGGAATTAATACCTGATGTTCAGTAGCAGACATGAATGAAAACACCCAAAGGAATGAACTGAATGCCAAATATCTGGTGTAAACAAGTCAAATTGGAGTTTCGAGGAGAGATCAAAGAGGGCTTCCCTGAGGAGGTGTGATCTAAGCTGGGTCTGGAAAGATGAGTAGGTTTACATTGGTGAACACGTAGTCACCTCAGGTAGGAGTAACGATGTGAGCAAAAGAGCAAGAGTAGGAAATGGTTCTAAGCAGAGAATGACATGACAAGATTAAAGTTTTGAGGAAACTGATATGGTCAAATGGTCTGAGCTGAAACAAATAAGAGAAAGACTGGAAATGAAGACAGCTCCAAGGTTGCTGGAGCAGCCTGTGATGGAGGCAATGAGGCTGTACACCAGCATGGCAGCAGTAGACATGAGAGGAAGGGAGAGGGGGTGAGGCATCGCCAAATGGGAACCGAGGGATTTGGTAATTAGTGTCAGACATGGGCTGAGAATGAAGGTTGTCATTAAAAAGTAGGTCCTGAGCTCTTGATTCAGTCAGTCACTCACTCAGCAAAGATTTCCAGCACCAACAATATGCCCCAGCACCACACTAGGCTCTGAGAACAGAGAGAAACATGAACAGGACACGAGCAATATGAGCTAGTGGAGGGCACTGACCCCTCCAAAGTACTGCTATGCAAGCAACATCCAGGGTGGCGACCTCCCACCTTCGTTGCATGCTGCAACAGTTACAGTACAGCAGGTACCCCAGTATGTGGGGTTTCATTTATAAATTATTCATGTGTACTACTGCACTAATGCATTCTATACATTATCAAATTTTTTAAAATAAAAATTACAAAAGAATGAGATCCAATACATGTGAATGGAAGTTCTAGTATTTTCTCCAGCATCCCCATGGTTTCTGCACCCTACTTTGGGAGACCACTGCTCTAGACACCTGCAGAGATCGCTTCAATCTCTGTGGTTTTCAGAGGAACAATTACATCTCAGTGTAACTTCAATGATTCTCATTTTTGTTTTCTGTGTAGGCTGGTCTGTGGTTTACGGGAGATGAAGATATAAAAATTCCAGAAAATCCCCTTGAACCTCTGCCATTCAATAGGCAGGAGCATCTTATAGAGGTAATTCCATAACATTGATTCATTTCTTGTCTTTTCTCCCACTTGTGTAATTAGTCTTAGACTCCACCCCGACTCCCGGTTCCTTTGCTGTATCCCCCAAGTGCAGAGTTTAATATTCACTATGGCGACAGCATAGGAGAGTCTGGAGGGAATCAGGGACCAAAATCTTAGACAGGCTTCTCTTGTTTACTCACTATGTGATCCCAGACAATATCCATAAGCTCTCCGGGTTTCACTCTTCTCATCTAGCAAATAAGCTGGTACTGAACACACTTTTCACTAAATGCCCTTCCAATTGTAAAAGCTTTGGATAAGAACTGACTTTCACCAATATATGTCTTTGTTCATTTCTCTTTGATTTTGACTAACTTGACCAACATTCCAATAGTTTGCCTACAGTATTGCCCACTACCCATCAGATTATCATTATTATCATCAAAAGTATCATCATCATCATTATCATTTTCATTAGCTTCTATCCCTGAGGCCACAATAGAATGCAAGCCCTTAAAATCTGAAAACCATTCTGACTTCAACACAGCCAAGCTCAATAAAATATGAGAAAAGTTGAATGGCAGATTCAGACATGACAGCAAACTATGTATATCGATTGATCAATTCAGCCCGCCATGAGTTAAAAATTGCAGTGCAAAATTGAACATGACTCCAGTCGTAACCTGAAAGTGAGCAATCCCCTTCAATTGGATGCATATTCTTTGAGTATCTCTCTTAGATGCTAGCAGGAGAGCAGGTGAAAGAAAGGGGTCAGGGAGTTACCAAAAAATGTCCAAGACATGAGGCTGGCAGTTGCACGGGCAGTTTTTTGTTTTGGTTGTTGGTTGCTTTAAAAACTGCAGGACTGAGTTCAATTCTCCTGTAAAGCTTTGGAAGGTGTCTCTATATGATTTTGTGAACAAATCTGTCAACAATATAAACAGGTTCTTCATTCCTTGGGAAGAAGCCAGCAGTCTGAATATGATGTCAAGTAACTTCCTTTTCAGCCAGAAGTTGTTAGAAGTGTTTATCAGAGCAGAGCCCTTCCATGGCTCACAGAGCTGCTAAAGGCGGGAGACAGCCTGTGTTGGTCAGCCCCGAGGACTGCGACACAGTGAGGCCGGAAAGGGCCTTGGGATGCCAAAGAAGGGTGTGGCTCCCACCTGCTGCTACCCAAACTGCTGGAAAGTGAACATAGGAAAGGAACAAAGTGGGGGGCAGAGGCAGGACCACAGAGCCTGAGAAAGAAGCGCTCTTACAGGGCAAAGGATGGTTGACAGGTATGTGTGTGTGTGTGTGTGTGTGTGTGTGTTGTCCAGAGGACAGAAGAGGGTGGTGTCCTCTCTGCCCCATGGACTGGATGCTCAGCATTTCATAAATCTCAACGCCCTTCAACTGGGATTAAAAGCACAGATGCCACGGCTGACAAGCTGCGAGGTCTTGATGGAGTTACCTACCCTCTCTGTGCTGTAGTTTTATTTTCATCCCTCTCTGCTGGGAGTGTTGTGCAGCATGCGTTCATATGTGTGGTACTTTTAGAACAGTGATTGGCACACAGTTAGCCCGATGTCAGTGTCAGCTAAACAGAAGCTAACCACGCTAACTCTACATGGTAAAACACCGGTTAATGGTTAAGAAGCTAAAGAAAGGGATGCAAAGGGAAAACATAAAACAATATAATAAGTTTACTTTTTTGGCCATAATTAGAGTAAGTAAAGACCAAATCAGGGGAAAAAACACCCCATGAAGAGGAATTCTGAGTGTCAGGATCCCTGGCCTCTGCTCCCAGTTCTGACATGACCCACTGTAGGACCTTGAATAGATCCCTTCACCTGCCGGGGCCTCTGCAAGCTATTAAAAAGAGCGCTTGGCCTACGATCTAGCTGGCCACACCCAGCTCCCCTGCTTTGTCACCTGTGTTCTCTACAATCCAGGGCCGCCAGGGGTCCCAGAGACAGACTGTAATTCCTGC